AACCCTCCCCTGCCGGCCTGTTTGCCCCTAACTACTCTCCCCTGCAGTCCTGGTTGCCCCTAACTGCCCTCCCCTGTTGGCCCGATTGCCCCAACTGCCCTCCCCTGCAGGCCTGGTTGCTCCTAACTGCCCTCCCCTGCAGGCCTGCTTGCCCCTAACCGTCCTCCCCTGCCAGCCTGGTTGCCCCTAACTGCCCTCCCCTGCCAGCCTCGTTGCCCCCAACTGCCCTTGCCAGCAGGCCTGGTCGCCCCCAACTGCCTTCCCCTGCTGACCTGATCACCCCTAACTGCCCTCCCTTGCAGGCCTGGTTCCTCCCAACTGCCCTCCCCTGCTGGCCATCTTGTGGCAGCCATCTTGTTGGAGTGATGGTTAATTTGCATATTACCTCTTTATTATGTAGGACTAGAGGCCCGGTGCACAAAAATTTGTGCACTCGGGGGGGATGGGGGGGTCCCTCAGCCCAGCCTGTGCCCTCTCACAGTCTGGGACCCCTCGGGAGATAATGACCTGTTGGCTTAGGCCCGCTCCCGGGTGGCAGAGGGCAGGCCCAATCCCTAGGTGCAGCCCCTGGTCGGGCTCAGAGCAGGGCTGATTGGGGAGTTGGGGCGCCGCCCCCTGTCATGCACAGAGCAGGGCGGATCGGGAGGTTGCGATGCCACCCTCAGTCAGGCTCAGGGTAGGGCCGATTGGGGGGTTGGGGCACCGCCCCCTGTCACACTCAAGGCAAGGTCGATGGGGAGGTTGCGGCGCCACCCCCTGTCACGCACAGAGCGGGGCCGATCAGGGGGTTGGGGCGCTGCCCCCTGTCACTCACAGAGCAGGGCCAATCAGGGGGTTGGGGCGCTGCCCCCGTCACTCACAGAGCAGGGCCCATCATGGGGGTTGGGGCTCTGTACCCTGTCACTCACAGAGCAGGGTCGATCAGGGGGTTGGGAGCTCCCCCCTGTCACACAAAGAGCAGAGCCCATCAGGGGGTTGGGGAGCTCCCCCCTGTCACACACAGAGCAGGGCGGATCAAGGGGTTGGGGCGCCGCACCCTGTCACACTCAGGGCAGGGCCGATGGGGAGGTTATGGCTCTACCCCGTTACACACAGAGCAGGGCTGGTGGGGGGAGTTGGGGCGCTGCACCCTGTCACAGAGCAGGGCCAATCAGGGGGTTGGGGCGCCGCACCCTGTCACGAACAGAGCAGGGGGGATAGGGAGGTTGTGGCCCCGCCCCCTGTCACACACAGAGCCGCAGGGCGATCAGGGGGTTTGGGCGCTGCCCCCTGTCACGCTGATCCCGGTGCAGGGAGGCCTCGCGGCTCCGCTGATCCCAGTGCTGGGAGGCATATTACCCTTTTACTATATAGGATAGAGGCCTGGTGCATGGGTGGGGCTGGCTGGTTTGCCCTGAAGGGTGTCCTGGATCAGGGTGGGGGTCCCGCTTGGGTGCCTGGCCAGCCTGAGTGAGGGGATGATGGCTGTTTGCAGCTGGTCACACCCCCTTCAGGGTGGGGGTCCCCACTGGGGTGCCTGGCCAGTCTGGGTGAGGGGCTGAGGGCTGTTTTCAGGCTGGCGGGTGACTGAAGCTCCCAACCCAGGGGTGGGCAAACTTTTTGACTCGAGGGCCACAATGGGTTCTTAACCTGGACCGGATGGCTGGAACAAAAGCATGGATGGAGTGTTTGTGTGAACTAATATAAATTCAAAGTAAACATCATTACATAAAAGGGTACGGTCTTTTTTTTTTTTAGTTTTATTCATTTCAAACGGGCCGGATCCGGCCCGCGGGCCGTAGTTTGCCCATGGCTGTCCCAACCGCTCCTTTTTTTCTTTTCTTTTTTTATTCTGGGCCAGCTTTAGCTCTGAGGCTTGGCTCCAGCTCTGAGGCCTCAGCTGCTGAAAGCAGGTATCTAGTTTGTTTGGGTTCTATAATCGAAACACTGTTTCAACTCCAGCTCTGAGGCCCGGCTGGCTGAAAGCAGGTTTCTGGGGTTTTGTTTAGCTTCTGTATTTGTAACAATGTTTCAAACTGCAAGCTCAGAGGCCGACAGCTGCAGGCGGGGAATGTTAGCTTCCTCTGTCACTGAAGCAAGCAAGCCTCATGTTCGCTTCAAGCTGCCTGGCTGCCGGCCGCCATCTTGGCCGGCAGTTAATTTGCATATCGCCCTGATTATCAAATGGGAAGGGTAGCAGAGGTACGGCTAATTACCATGTTCCTCTTTTATTAGATAGGATATGTGCTTATTCCTAAACTGAATAATGATAAAAGGAATATGCAGGTAGCAGTTAGCCTATCATCATGATCTTGCCATTCCATAGGCAAGTCATCTGAATATTTTTAAAACTGAGGAAGTATAGATGATTTTCTGCCTTTGAGAGTTAGACATTTTAAAGCAAGAATTGACAGATCATTTGTTTGAACCTTATAAGGGCATACAGTCTGTACTATCTGATTAACTGTGTGTTTTCTTAACATAGGATGAGCCTCATGATCTCTCACTTGGACCAATGTCTGTATCAGCAAGTGGAAGCAATCTTTATGAGGCTGTAAGGATGGGGGCAGGATCCAGCATTATTGAAAATCTACAGTCCCAGCTACAACTAAGGGAAGGAGAAATTACTCATTTACAGGTATTGGAAAAATTAAATATGCTATAGAAGTAGGTGAAAATTTGAGGGCCAATAAGTATACTTGAATTTATAGTCACCTGAATTCTGAGCAAGTTTAGAAATAAAATGAAATAGTGGCATGTGAAGACCAAAATGTATCCTATGTTAATGATAAGGGCTGGTTGGAGAAATTCACCAAGGATAAGAGCCAAGTGAGCCTGCTGAGGGCCAGAACTGGGGAGACTTACTTACCTCCATCACGGGAAATGCTGGGCTGGAGTGGGCCTCCCAGGTGTGGTAGCTGCCCAGGTAAGACTTAGGCATCTGGGAGCTGAGCGCTCCTTTCAAGCAGCTTTTCCACACATTAAAAAAAAAAAAAAAAAGCTGTTGTCCGGCTGGCGTGGCTTAGTGATTGATCGTCCATCAGGGACCTAGAGGTCACTTTTCTGATTACTGGTCAGGGCCCAGGCCCCGGTTGTGGGCTCGATCCCCAGTAGGGGTGGGGTGTTCAGGAGGCAGCCTATCAGTGGTTCTTTCTCATCATTGATGTTTCTCTCTCTCCCCCTCTCCCTTCTGCCCTCTTTAAAAAATCAATAAATAAAACATAGTTTTAAAAAAAGGAAGCTTCTGATCTGAGCATACCCATTTTATTCTTCCTGGATTTACCACTCATATAAGTTGCTCTGACTTCCCGTGAGGAATGAATAGAGCAGTGGTTCTCAACCTTCTGGCCCTTTAAATACAGTTCCTCATGTTGTGACCCAACCATAAAATTATTTTCGTTGCTACTTCATAACTGTAATGTTGCTACTGTTATGAATCATAATGTAAAAATCTGATATGCAGGATGGTCTTAGGCGACCCATGTGAAAGGGTCGTTCGACCGCCAAAGGGGTCGCGACCCACAGGTTGAGAACCGCTGGAGTAGAGAGATTAGAACTACAACCTTGTGCACATGAAAGTAAACATTGTAAGTGGGAAGGGAGGAGCCGCTCATCATATCTTGCCTTTTAAAATATAATGTAGTGAGAAATGTTAAAACGTTTAAACTATTTTTTGTTAAACTTGATACACTCATAAGTAAAACTTTCCTCATTTATTTCCTTTGTATGACTTTAATAAGTTGAAAATATTACTCTATTAAAGAAGATCTTGAATTGGGAAAAAATAGGTTAGAATAATCTTGATACTTATGTTTATGTAGCCCAGAATGCTATGCTTGAGGGACCAAATGAACATTTTTGGTAGTCTGTCAATATGATCAACACAGTTGGAGATACACTAAAGTATGGTTTTATTTCTCAGGGATTTTGTAGTAATTTAGAATAACTGAAATATATGCTATTTCCTTAGGTTAGAGAAAAATATAAGGTTGCATAGTTCAAACAGATGATTGAATTCTCTTTAGTTCTTTGTCTTTCATGGTACACCCTATCAGTGGTACACCTCTGAAGAAAGTTGAAACCTTTTTTTTTGTCACTATTTCCTTTTACTTAAGAGCTACCTCATGGTTATATGCTGTTATATTTTTCTTTAAAAATAACACATTAAATATGTTTACATTAGTGGGAACATTAAACGAGATATATTTTTGTCTAAATTTCTTTCTGATAATGTTTCTCAGGTAGAAATTGGCAGTCTAGAAAAAACACGCTCCATAATGGCTGAAGAGCTAGTTAAATTAACAAATCAAAATGATGAACTCGAAGAGAAAGTGAAGGAGATACCCAAACTTCGAACTCAGCTAAGAGTAAGTATTCTTCACTTAAGGTGAACCTAAGATATTTTAATCCAGTTACATTAAATCTCATATTTTTAATTTATGTAAAATGCATATGTGTTAATGATTTATTTGAAAATTAGAGTATTAATATTTCAGTAAATAACTTTAAAGGTAAATCTTTTATCTTGCTTGTCTCATTATACAGTCAAAGCATTTTTCACAATCATGTTTAATCTCATTTGGAAAATAACTAGATTTTATTTGGCCAAGGATCATTTATAAAACACTTCTGTATTATCTCCATACTACTTGTTTATTGATATTATATATATCATAATTAGCATATTTGGTATTAGTAGTCACTATTAAGCCATATTTAATTTGGGTAAATGCCAGGTAATATTTAAACCACAGTGAACCAAAGAGACTAAAATATCATCAGATGTGCTTCAATTAATTGGAGAAATCACTGATTAGGCTATATATGGGGGAAATTGTAGATGTAGTGGAGCGATGAGGTAAGATTGATAGCCATTTGCCCAGCCAGCGTAACTCAGTAGTTGACCTATGAAGCAGGAGGTCACAGTTCAATTCCTGCTCAGGGCACATGCCCCGGTGGTAGGATTGATCCCCAGTGGGGGGCATGCAGGAGGCAGCTGATCAGTGATTCTCTCTCATTATTGGTGTTTCTATTCATGTCTCCCTCTCTTTTCCTCTCTGAAATCAATAAAAATACATTAAAAAAAAAGATTGATAGCCATTTGGCTTAGGTTTTGTTTTGTTTTTTAGCATTTGTAAACGTTTAATTACCATCTTTTGCATTAAAAATATTAAACACCTACATATTCAGGATTATCTTGTTTTTGTTGAAGGTTTTCACTGACAAAATTTGAATACTCCATATGTTTCTTTTCTGGATGGATAATGATTTATTCTAAAAATCTAAAGATCTTTGGGTTTGTGCTGTTATCCTATCTATTAAAGACAGGCTATGCAAATTGACTGTCACTTTGTGACAAAGATGGCGGCGCCCACAGCCAATAAGGAGGTAATATGCAAATTGATGCGACAAAGATGGCGGCAGCTGGACCAGGATGCTTGCGTCGTCGCCATGGCAACGACGCAGGCATTCCGCCCCACCCTCGCCGCTCCAGCCCTCTGGGCAGCACGTGAAGGCGGAAGGCGGCTCCGGGTCGGAGCGAAGGCAGTGCTGGCAGCCAGGGGAAGGAAGGCCTATTCTTGCACGAATCTTTGTGCATTGGGCCTCTAGTTCCTGGATAAAGCTTTACAATTTTATTTGGAGACAATGAAGAATAAAATGAGAGGCCAAGTACCATTCTGACTAGAAATAACAGCCCTGGGTGATCATAGAACACCAGACAACAAGAAATGCAATTCAGATAAAAAATTAACAGAATGAAATGAAAATGTATTTCTCATTGCCTTAGGACGTCTCTATATACATTTGACACACTGATGCTTTTGTCTTAGGGTAATCTACTCCATGTCCTTGTGGGACATGAAAACACAGTTTTAACAAGAAGCTGTGAATTGATCCCCAGGCACTGATGGGAGAATTTGCTATGGAATTAGGAATGGGGTTGTTTATTCTTGTACTAGAAGCCCAGTGCATGAATTCATGCACCAGTGGGGTCCCTTGGCCTGGCCTGAGGGATCAGCCCAAAACCAGCTCTCTGACATCCCCCAAGGGGTCCCAGATTGCGAGAGGGCAACAGGCCAGGCCAAGGAATCCCACCTGTGCACGATTGGGGCCGAAGAGGGATTCAGGGAGTTGGCCTGCCGGGAAAGGACCATGGGAGGGCTCCAGGGCGTGTCCAGCACGCCTTGCCCAGTCCCAATCAGCCAGACCCCAGCAGCAAGCTAACCTACCATTTGGAGCATCTGCCCCCTGATGGTCAGTGTACGTCGTCATAGCGAGCAGTTGAGTGGCCTTAGCATATCATTAGCATATTATGCTTTGATTGGTTGAATGGCTGAAGGGTCAACCGGACACTTAAGATATTAGGCTTTTATTATATAGGAATTAGGTCTTCCATTATTTTCATTTCTGTATGTCTTGTGTTGTTTCTGGCTCTGCTCCAATGCTTTCCATGCTGTCTGGCATCCATCAAAGAGAGGGTTGTTTCCTGCATTTGGAAACACCTTCCAAATGGTGGGGGCACAGTGTGAGCAGGAGAGTCCCCATGCCTGTGCTGAAGCAGCAATTGAAATACTGATCTGCAATGGACTAATTTATTTATTTTGAAAAATCACTACTTCCATGGCATGTATTCAGATTTGGCTAGCATTTGTTCATGCCTACTTTGTGCTAGAATTGATTTTACACTTAACATTTGTTATTTTAATTAAATTGTTCCATTTAAGCTCAGCTCAACAAAGGGGCATATATTATTACCTGAAATTCAGAAATGAGCAATGAACTTGTTTCTGTTAATACAAGCATAAGTGATAGTCAAGTTTCAATGTTCTAAGCCTCATGATAGACACTTCATTTGTTCTTTTACTTAAATAATTTATTTATAAGTTTTATTTAAATAATTTTATTTAAACATACTATTTTTATTGTTTTAATAAAGCTACATGTGCTTGTTGTAATTTTAATAGTATAAATAGTAAAATTAAGATTGTGTTTCTGCCACCCAGAGGTAATCATTATTAACTCATTTCTGTATTAGGTTTCAGCCTTTTTTAGGGTGTGTGTGTGTGTGTGTGTGTGTGTGTGTGTGTATGTATATGAGTGCGTGCATGTGCTATTTTAACGTATTTGTGTTCATACTGTAAATACACTTTATATTCTACTCTTAATCACTTGATATTGTATTGTGAAAATGTTTCCATATTGTTAAATTTCCCCAAAGCATACTTTTTATGAGTAATCCTATGGCTATATCATAATTTATTTATTTTATTTTTAAAAAATCTTTATTGTTCAGATTATTACAGTTGTTCCTCTGTTTTCCCCCCATAGCTCCCCTCCACCCGGTTCCCACTCCACCCTCTGCCCTTACCTCCCCCCACCCCCAAGGTCCTCATCCATAGGTGTACAATTTTTGTCCAGTCTCTTCCCGTACCCCCGCACCCCTTTCCTCCCGAGAATTGTCAGTCCACTCCCTTTCTATGCCCCTGATTCTATTATATTCACCAGTTTATTCTATTCATCAGGTTTTTTATTCACTTGATTTTTAGATTTACTTGTTGATAGATACATATTTGTTGTTCATAATTTTTATCTTTACCTTTTTCTTCTTCCTCTTCTTAAAGAATACCTTTCAGCATTTCATATAATACTGGTTTGGTGGTGATGAACTCCTTTAGCTTTTTCTTATCTGTGAAGCTCTTTATCTGACCTTCAATTCTGAATGATAGCTTTGCTGGATAAAGTAGTCTTGGTTGTAGGTTCTTGCTATTCATCACTTTGAATATTTCCTGCCACTCCCTTCTGGCCTGCATAGTTTCTGTTGAGAAATCAGCTGACAATCGTATGGGTACTCCCCTGTAGGTAACTGACTGTTTTTCTCTTGCTGCTTTTAGGATACTCTCTTTGTCTTTTGCTCTTGGCATTTTAATTATGATGTGTCTTGGTGTGGTCCTCTTTGGATTCCTTTTGTTTGGGGTTCTCTGCGCTTCCTGGACTTGGAAGTCTATTTCTTTCACCAGGTAGGGGAAGTTTTCTGTCATTATTTCTTCAAATAGGTTTTCAATATCTTGCTCTCTCTCTTCTTCTGGCACCCCTATAATTCGGATGTTGGTATGCTTGAAGTTGTCCCAGAGGCTCCTTACACTATCTTCATATTTTTGGATTCTTCTTTCTTTTTTCTTTTCCGGTTGGGTGTTTTTTACTTCTTCGTACTTCAAATCTTTGACTTGATTCTTGCGATCCTTTAGTCTGCTGTTGGATCTCTGTATGATATTCTTTATTTCAGTTAGTGTATGCTTAATTTCTAGTTGGTCCTTTTTCATATCCTCGAGGGTCTCACTAGACTTATTGACAGTCTTACTAAATTTATTGGTGGTTTCTAGAAAATTCTTGAAAAACCTTATAAGTGTGGTTTTGAATTCTATATCCTGTAGTTTGCTTTCCTCCATTTCTGTCATTGTGACCTGTTTCTTTGCCTCCGCATTTTGGCTGCTTCCCTGTGTTGATAGAGTGGCTTTCTGTGCTAGGTATCCTAGAGGGCCCAGTGGCTCAGCCTCCCCAATTACCTGAGGTGGACACTCTTGGTGCACCCCTTTGTGGGCTGTGTGCACAGTCTTGTTGTAGTTAAGCCTTGATTGTAGTTGGTATCACTGGGAGGAATTGACTTCCAGGCCACTTGGCTGTGAGAATCAGCTGTGTCTACAGTGGGAGAACTTCTGTGCTGGAGACAACCTTCTGGGGCAAGACTTGCTTCAGTGGGGCTTTGGTGCTCACTGAGTCTGCCCCCTGAGTGTGTCCCTTATGGATCTTAAGAGTTGTAATCTGGATGGTCCCACTCTGACCACTGGGTACACTGGCACTTGGATCTCTAAGGAGGTGCTAATTTAGCCTCTGCCTGAGGCTACCCAGCAGGAGCTATGGAGAGATCTGCAGATTCCTCTTCTTTGTTTGGGATTTGGAGGTGCCCAGATGAGGCCCAGCTGTGAAGCAATGCAAACTGCTGTGGGGCCTTCGGCCTTCTTTTGGAAGTTCTGGGTCTCTCAGACACAGCTGCAGTTTGTTAGGTAATTTGAGATTGCAAAGGGCCAGGGCATTCATATGCAAAAGCCTCTGTGCACAGCTTGGGTGGGGCGGGGTCTCAGGGAATCAACAGGGTGGAGCAAACAGCTATGGCTGATCCTCAGTCCTGCCCTAAGAGGTCCTGGGTCTCAGTGTCCCGAGATAGTCGCTGCAAGCACTTCTGAGAGAAAGCCACCCTCGAGTTCCGCCTGCTGCCAAACAGTCCAGTTTCTCCCAGTATGAGTCTGGGTCCCCAGAGACTCGACCAGAACTGGAGTTCAGAGAAGTCAGTAGCTTGAGACTCCCTCCCGATTGAAAAAGACAACCGTGTCCTCAGTTGCCAGCCCTTTCCGCGTGCGCCTCCATAACTCTGCACTTTACTTCCGCACCTCCTCTGAGTATCAGTGTGCTTTTCTCTTCTCTTCTAGTTGTAGAATTTCCACTCAACCAGCCTTCCTGTGGTCCTGGATGATGTCCGTTTTGTCTTTTAGTTGTATTTTTGAAGTGGTTGTGCAAGGCAGCAATTTCAGGTGTTTACCTATGCTGCCATCTTGGTTTCTGTCTGTATCATAATTTATTTAATTCCCTTGCTGGTGGCTGTTCAGGTGGTTGTGAATTTTTTAACTTGATTTTTAAAAAGTGCTATAAACAGCCGAACCGGTTTGGTTCAGTGGATAGAGCGTTGGCCTGCGGACTGAAGGGTCCCAGGTTCGATTCCGGTAAAGGGCATGTACTTTGGTTGGGGGCACAACCCCAGTGGGGGGCGTGCAAGAGGCAGCTGATCGATCTCTCTCATCGATGTTTCTGGCTCTCTATCCCTCTCCCTTCTTCTCTGTAAAAAATCAATAAAATATATTTTTTTAAAAAGTGCTATAAACAACTTTATGCATAGATCTCCATCTGGCTCTTTAGGCATGGCTCCTAAAACCAGGGTTACTGGGCCTGCATGTGCTTTTGCTTGATGCACCTGGAGAAATGTTTTTCCATACCAGATGCTTCTTTGAGTCAGGACACAAGGTGTGAATGACATGGTGTTTTCACACCTTCTTTTGGGTTGACAATGCTTGAATGTATGTTTGTATGTATGGGGTACATACGTAGTAGTGAATGCTACATTCTAATTCTTTTCAGATTTGCCTTTTTCTTAGCAGAAATTCTTGCTAGACCTAAACCATAAGCTGACCAGCTATGAGTCATAATTTTGTTGCAAGTGGCAATTTTACCTTTAAGATGGTCTTTAGAGGTATTTTAATAAGATGTTGGGAGCAGCTCAAAAATGCTAGCCAGAAATTATTTTAATCTTAAAAACCCCTATCCTCCCAGGGCACTTTAAAGATTCTTTCGAAGGTAATCTTTGAAGTTTCTATAGAACTAAGTGTTTTTCTAAAAAGTGAAGAAATATGGCCTGACAAATATGCAAAATAAGTCTGTAGGGGGACAGAAGAGTGATTGCCATGTTGATGGGATTTCTTTAAGTTCCTTTACTTGCTGTTTATTCCAACAGACTAGAGTATGAATTTAATTTTCATAAGAGCTGACTATATACTTTTATTTAGATTGTAATGTATTTATTGTTGATGGTAATATAAATATAATCAAGATGTTCTGTACAGTTACTTTACTAATTGTAAACAAATCTGTTTTGTAGGATTTGGATCAGAGATACAACACTATTTTGCAGATGTATGGAGAAAAAGCGGAAGAGGCGGAAGAACTTCGATTAGATCTTGAAGATGTAAAAAATATGTATAAGACTCAAATAGACGAACTTTTAAGACAGAGGCTCAGTTAACTTATGAAAATTACATTCCCATCAAACTGAATGTAATCATTTAATAACTAAATGCAAACTTTCAATAAATTCTCTTGTAGAATTAGAAAGTGGAATTTATTATAGAGATAAAACATTGGAAAAAGTTTTATAGTATATAGTAATATTTGCAGTTAAATTATTTTGTGCAATATTTGAACTTTATTTTTGAAACTATCTTTAAAGATTTATTTTTTAAAGCATCTTTTTTTTTTTCCATGAATAGCACCGAGATTTATTACTTTATCCTTATGTCAGTATGGTTGGGGAAGAAGAATGGTGTTCATACATTGTATTATAGATAAAAACTAATTATATCTATAATTTATATGTTTGTATATATACTGAGAACATTTAATGAGTGCTATTGACATATTGAAACTTTGAAATCTTTCACACTTAAATCTTCAACATTTCTATTTACTGCTCATGAAAATGGACAGTCAGTGTCCAATTTAAAAAAAATGTTAAACTTCCTGTTACTAAATTTTGAACTTAATATTTTTCCTTTAAAGTAGAAGTCACACTGACACAGGAGATTAAAGGATGAATAATTTAAATTAAAAACATTTTTGTGGCCCTAGCCGGTTTGTCTCAGTGGATAGAACCTCCAAAGGGTCCTGGGTTCGATTTCCAGTCAAGGTCACATACGTTGATTGCAGGTTCCTCCTGGCCCAGGCCCTGGTTGGGGCTCCTACAGGAGGCAACCAGTTGATGTGTTTCTCTCACATCAATGTTTCTCTCTGTCTTTCCCTCTCTCTTCCACTCTCCCTAAAAATCAATAAAAAATATCCTCCGGTGAGGATTAACAACAACAACAAAAAAAACTAAAACATTTTTGTGGTCAAGATTTATTTTACCCAGATTCCACAATTAAGTCTGTACAAATTGTGTTACTGTCTGGAGAATGCTAAGCTATGCAGTTATCTAGGCATGGTTGGCTAATGGGGAAAATGTGCTCAGAATGATTTGTGATGGTATCAGTAACATTTAAACGAATTTGAAGAGGTTTTGTTTGTACTACCCTATGAAATGAATCAACATAATAAAATTGTTAATATAATTTTCTCTTGAAAATACTTTCACATTTTGTAAAACCTTATTTTTAGCACATTAAAAGTGAATGTTATAGAACATTCATAACAAAATGTAGGAATCAATTTAAATTTGGCATTTGCAATTCTGCGTAATTTTTTTTTTTCTTGAACCTTTAAACACAAAAATAGGGCAGAATAGCTTTTAAAAATAGCTATGCCTTCTTCCAAATGTTATTTTATTCAGAAGTTAACCAGTCTGTGTTGTATACTTATGAAATATTTTAATTTTAATACCTTTTATTACTGAAAGTCATGTAGCTGCCTTTACTTACAAAATAAAAACTCTCAATTGTGAGTTAAATTTTCAACACTAGAACTTTGGAGTATAACTATAAGTAAGCCATGTTAAGGAATGGAATGCTTTTCAGGGCAATTCAAGTGACATTTTTTTTTTCTTTTTGTATTCCAGACCGTATTTCTGGCACTGGATTTCTGATGTTTATTTAGCATTAGTAAATATTCTTTCAAAGTGAGCCAAATTCATAAAATTAACTTTCTATATTTTAGTGGTAAGATCAGTGTAATTGCTTTTTGTTACCTTGATTTTTTTTTTTTTTTAAATTCAGGGACTGACCGGGAATGGCAAGACTGGTAACAATAAGAAATATACAGAATTAGAAGATATAGGAAACTTAAGTTGCAAAATTCTGACAAATGTTTGAAATTAGAAGTTTAGGAATTATGAAATTGTTTTTAAAATATTCATTAGTGAGAGAAAAAAACACTTTAGTTGTGGGGAAAAATTGAAATAAAACAATATCATCTATTTTCATATTAAACATTCTCTTCTTTTAATCCTTCTTAACATTAATAAAACCAGTTCAACTTAAAACTTTAAAGAGTTTTCAATTTATTTAATTAAAAAATTCAAAGCAGCTAATTTCATCTCTGGCTGTATATTACCATATGTTCTTTATCTGCAAGTGAATAGTTGATATACTAATCCTATTTTACTGTAAACTTAGATATCTCAATACATTTTTAAGTTGAGAAGTATACTAAATCAATTTAGTATAATATATTTAGACTCCACTAAATAAAAGAATATGTATTGAATATTGGTTGCCATATTTTGCTTTGTCATTAAGACTTGTCTATCTTCTAAAAAAATAATATTTTAATGGATAAGAATATAGTTTGCAGTTAGATGTTTCTATTCTTGGAAGAAAACAGAAAGATACTATAAATCTTAATTTCAAGAATATGAAAGAAGTAAAAGAGGTATGAACATTGTTTTTTATGTATAAACATCTAAGCACAGATGCTAGGCATCCTTTTAACTCTGGGGAAACTAAATTGAGAATACCATTCCTTTTCCCCCTTTGCTTCTGTTTTGAGAACTTCCAGTGTTAACAGTATTTAGCACATGGAGGAATGTATCTATATTGTGATTTAAGATATTCTAAGTATGGATAATTTCTGACTTAAGGAAACATTAGTTTTTGTAGTTAAATGAAAAGAATGTTCAGCCTAGTCGGTGTGGTTTAGTGGCTGAGCACTCGACCTATATGATCCAGGAGGTCATGATTCAATTCCCGATTTGGGCATATGCCCCGGTTGCGGGCTTGATTGCCAGTGTGGGGCTTGTAGGAGGCAGCTGATCAATGATGCTCATCATTGATGTTTCTATCTCTCTCTTCCTCTCAGAAATCAATGAAAATACATTAAAAGAAAAAGAATGTTCTGGAAAAATTTGTTCTCATGATCCCTCAATTGGCATTTGATTTATTAATTGAATTAATAATGAATATTAGAAGTATATGATTTATAGTATTTAGAAAGTAGCCATAAGAAAACAAAATGACTGTAGACTCTTTATCTTGTTTTACTTGTTTGTTTAGTATGTATACATTTGTACTATAATACCATAATATTTCATTTTTATTTAAAAAATTAATTTTCACTTCAATTTTAAGTTATAAAATTTTGTAAAGGGCTGAAAGTATGATTTAAACTACAAATTGATAAATATTTTAATTTTAAATGAAATAATGTAAAAAGCATGGATCTAATTTGAATAAAATTTTTAAAATAGTAATAATGTATTTCATTTTTGACTTAATTTAAAGTGGCCAGTACCAATGAATGGAGCTGGTACTGTTTTATGAAGATAATATAACTTGTATAAGTTTGGAATTCATATTTTAAGAAAATGAGGATAAGCCCTAATTTTAGTAGACATTATTAAGACTATGAGTATTAAGCATAGTTTTCTAATTAAGATGTATTTTTGGAAAACAATTTTAAGACTTACTGATTATAACTGGCAATTACTGTAAGGATGATTTTTGTGTCTTTTAAAAATCTTAAACAGTATCAAAATATATCCTAAATGTCTTACAATATTTCTATATTCAGATAACAGATATGCTACCCTGTTTTTGAGTTTATATTGGGGCTTATACTCTTGAACTTTGCAACTTAATCCCTTAAAGTACTTGTAAGCTATTGCTTTTATACATATCCATGTTACCTTTTAGCAAACAAAGATCTTTTAACAAGATAGGATGGAAATTAAAAGTATCTTCTTAATACTTACTTTTTTTCAAAACAAACAGAACACACACAAAAACCCCAAATGCTTCAGTATTCCAATTGCAATGCAGAGAATTTATTCTAGTGCTGTCCAGAATTTATTCATCATACTGCCCCACTCCCTAGTAAGATACATTTAATTTTAGAATCCTCAATCTATCTACATAAAAGCCTAAGCAACCAAAGGACCAGTCACTATGATGTGCACTGACCACCAGGAGGCAGACACTCAATGCAGGAGCTGCCCCTTGGTGGTTAGTGCACTCGCACAGCTCCACAGCTAAACTCCCCACTCCCCCCTGTGCCCCTCCCACCCCTGTCAGCCTCAATCGCTGGCCAGGCCAAGGGACCCCACCTGTGCACGAATTTGTGCACTGGGCCTCTAGTAGTAAATAAGAGGTGTGAACGAAAAAGGGACTATGTAGAAAACTGGACAAGCTCAGGGGCTACTCGGCATGCCTGATGAGCCCGGTGAATGAGTAACCACATGGTGGTGTGGTCATAAATTCCTAACTGGGTAGGTCATAATGGTAGTCATGCCTATAGTTTCCTTAGCAAAGGGGTTATCTTTGCCTTAAGTGAGCCCTGTGCTTTGGTGTTTTTTAAATTGAATTAGTTGGGATAACATTGGTTAATATAAGTTTCAGGTGTACATGTTTATAATACATTATCTGTATATTGTGTACTCAACTTGAATTACCATATAGTTGACCCGTTTGGCCTCTTCATCCTCTCCTCACTGCCTTCCTCTCTGGTTAACTACCATACTGTTGTCTGTGTCTGTGGGTTTGTTTTGTTTGTTCATTTGTTGCTGACCCAGGGCACATTGAGGAGTTTGGTTAGTAAATGGTTTGCATATTACCCTATTCCATAAAAAATTCAGGAATACATGATCGATCCCAAGGAATTTGAAAAGGGATTGCATACCCGCACTTAATCTTTAAATCAATATTTTGAAGTCGATGCCATTATCGGCTTCTTTTATTTTTTATTTTTATTGATTTCAGAGAGGGAGAGGGAGAGAGAGAGAGAAACATCAATGATGAGATAGAATCATTGATCGGCTCCCTCCTGCACACTCCCTACTGGGGACCAAGTCTGCAACCCGGGCATGTGCCCTTGACTGGAATTGAACCCAGGACCCTTCAGTCCACAGGCTGATGCTCTATCCACTGAGCCAAACCAGGCAGTGGTTTTCAACCTGTGGTTCTCGACCCCTTTGGCGGTCGAACGACCCTTTCACAGGGGTCGCCTAAGACCATCCTGCATATCAGATATTTACATTACGATTCATAACAGTAGCAACATTACAGTTATGAAGTAGCAACGGAAATAATTTTATGGTTGGGTCACAACATGAGGAACTGTATTTAAAGGGCCAGAAGGTTGAGAACCACTGAGCTAGGGCTATATATATTTCTTTATTGTGGCAAACCAGC